TTACTTTTTATGAGTTTCCAAATTAAAATCACAAGTTTTCATCGTATTTCCGAAATAAAATTAAAAAAAAAACGTTTCCGAAAAAACAGACTTTGAACGGAGTTTCTATGCAATCTATACTACACCTACGTAAAACAGTCATATGTCTTTCAAAATTGAAAAATAGATCTCGTCAACAGCAGGGTTCGAACCTGCGCGGGCGAAGCCCAACAGATTTCAAGTCTGTCTCCTTAACCACTCGGACATATTGACAGTTGTGTTATGTTTTTGAATAATATTGAATTTTATCTTTATATTAACTATAATAAAAGGAATGTAGAAAAGAACAAGACGGTACTACTACGACAAGCAAAGAAGAAACTACATATAAAGCGATCCACGACAGTCAAACAAGAACCAAATCAACAAATATGCTAAAAGAATAATAACTAAGCACTTTGTGGAACTTAACTAGATCCGGAGAGGTTTCCTTATTTTGCTTTGCTCTCTTTTACTCCTTTCCAATTCTTCATAGGATTTCTTCTAGTTTTCAATCAAGCACCAAAGATTCTTTTGTTTCTCAAATATTTAAGAACATTTTCTTTCTATTCTTAAGTATATATGCACGATTCCTCCAAAATCTTTTTTCTCGAATTGGAAGTTAGCAGAATTTATAAAGTTTCGGAGAGGAAATGATATTTACTAAATAGTGTTTAATAATCTTTAAGAATAGAAAAAGCATATTAAGTCTTATTTTAAATTAGAAAAGAGTTATGTATGCCAAATTCCAAACTTTAGTAGAGTTATTTAAAAAAACAGCTCTAATAAATTAATACATCTGAAAGGAAATAGAAAAAATGTAATAAATAACTGAAAAACAATAGACAAAAAGACAAAAAAAACTAATAAGCATAGGCGGCGATGGCGACTATGTGGTTCCTGAAGATGCGACTTCGCATGGCGCTTCTCAGGCGATAGCAAAAAAGATATGATGGGAGCTGGTGTTGGCGACTGCAAGGCTGAAGATGTGGCTCCTATTGGTTCCCTATGATGCACCGGGACGGATACGGGTACAGAAATGGGGAGGGGAGCGGGGACGGGAAACGACAAAACTAAAAAACTAGAGATACGGGTACGGCATAGAAACATTTATAAAAGTAATATATATACGTGTATATACACATAAATTTTTAGTTTGGATTAAATATATGGACTACAATAAGATAGATGAACACATAAATTTTTAGTTTGGATTGAATCTAAAGTCGTCATCATGGTTTCACTTCTGAATTCTTACCTTCGGCAATATATTCGGTGTAGAGAATCATTTAATGCTTTCAATTTCAACAATATATATTCTTAATCAGAAGTGATGAAATAAAAAGTGACTGCACATGTTAAAAAGCTCATGTTGTTAAGCCCTAACTTGCACCACGTCCCCACGCCGTCCCAGCACTGTCCCCATGCCGTTCCCGTTTCAGAAACGTTTCCGGTACCGGGACGTCACTCAAACTCACATCCCCGTGCATCATAGTTGGTTCCTCTCTGCCGATGGCAAAGGATCCGGTTGGTGCACCTTTGATCTATGTATATGATGTGATTTCTCCTTCACCGATTCCAGGAAATTCTCTGGTATCAGAAGTGATTTCTATGAAGGTTTGTTGGAAGATATTTTACCCGACGGTTTTATATCGAATTGAGGATGCCAAAGTGCGTGATAGGGTACTGAAACAGAAGTTTTGGCATATTGTAGAAATACCATTGATGGTTGGTGAATGGACTCCTGAAACAGCTAGAGCTCCCCCTGATCTTTCAGCAATGCCATTATGGGTGGACTTATCGAATGTCCCAGACTATCTCTACTCAAAAAGGATTTAGTTTCTTCACTCGTGCCTCGGGTAAGTTCATCAAGCTTTCACCCAAACACTGAGAGATGTACATGTATGTATGTGGCTAGGCTACTAGCTGAAGTGAACCTGACGAAACCACTGCCAAGCCAGATCAGTTTAAAGGGTTGTGCTGGGTCAGATGGCTTGGTATCTGTCAGTGAGTCGTGATGGGTCAGATGGCTTGGTATATGTGATACGTGTTCAAATTACCTTAAGAAGCACTTACTCTCTCAAATATGAGATCTACTATACTATTTAGGGATCGAATCCACAGAGAGTTAAGGAACCACTTAAATCTAATCAAACAATAATACTAGGTGAATATTAAATGTAAAATTGCAGTAAACAAGTAAACATGAAACAGTAAATATTATAATTGAGCATAACAATTACTCGACATAATGAAATGAGGGTTTGAACTTTAAGGGAAAAGTGTTAGACTTAGAGCTTTTATTCATGTGTTTGAGATTATAATCCTATAGGTGTTAATTAGTTGTTTACATGGTATTAAAGAGCTTAACTATCTTAATAACATATTTACTAAACTTTTGCTTAATAAATAAGTCAATTAACTAAAGTGTTATTGATCCAAACAAGGATGTCCGATCAATAACAGTGTCAATCAATTAATCTATAGGAATATCGATCGATGCACTTTACACAATGTCGATCGATTTCCAATGGGAATATCGATCGATGCTGCTAGTCAAGCATTATACGGGAGTTAATCTACACTCACTATGGACCGTCTAGATCAAGCGTTCGCCTTCTCTCTAGTAAAAGTCCTAGCTTAATCAGAATGTATTCAAGACTATCAAAGTTATCTAAGGATACTTAAACAACCTAACAATCCTAGATTCAGGTTTCCACTTCCTGCATCCTTATCTCCTTCTAACACTCATGTCTCCACTATCGCTTAAGATTTGGCTCCAACTTCCCGCATCCTTATCTCCTTCTTTTTTATTTGTCTGGACATCATCAACAATACGAGTCTCGTCACCCGATCCTTTTTATCCTTCTTCTCCACCAGAATTCTTGTTAAATTCTTCTTCTTCTTCTCCACCAGAATTCTTGTTAAATTCTTCTTCTTCTTCTTCTTCTTCACATCCTCTTCTTCTTCTTCAACTGGGTTCACATCTTCATCTGATTCTTCACCAGAATTCATGTCTTCCTCTTCTTCAACATGGTTCAGGTTTAGGTTCTCATTCGCAGCGACAGAGTTTGCATCTTTTGCTTCTTCTTCATGAAGAGTAGGGGGTGTCTCTCTCTTTAGTTTCTAGAGTTCTTAATCTTCTACTTTGACCATCTAGTCTTAAACCATTATTCTAAACCTGAAAATCATCAACAAACCAACTAGATATATTACTTTCAGCATGGATCACCATAGAAAATTCAAGTTATACCTAGTATCAACAAACCAACTAGATAGATTACTTTCAGCATGGATCACCAAAGAAAATTCAATTGATGTGAAGAAAGTATATTGGGAGCAAAGACTGATTAATCTGAAGGACACATGGCAATTCGTTAAGTCAGACTATAATGAAAATGAAATTATAAAAATCAATTTTTTTTTTAACACTGGATTTTATTATTTAGTCTTTTAGGCAAGATTTATAAAAAAAGGAGAACTAAAAACAAATGTAGAAAAGAGATAAACTAGTAGAGGTTCAAATTCAATTAACACATCTATTTTTCGTAGCCAAATCTTTCATATAAAAGTTCTATATTTGCTTCTAGTATAATTGTATCTCAAGGAAAATAATCATCATATTAATCCAATAATGTTATGCTTCAGACTGAATTGGTAATGATTGCACTCTTTTTTATTACTCCAATAGGAGTCATTGAGAAATGACAGTTCTTTAAATTGCTTTATTGATAATAACAAAAATGAAGAAATTACCGTTCCAAACAGTAAATTAATTAGAATTTTATGTTGTCTTTCTAAGTAATCCTATGTAGCAAGAACTTCATCTCCATCAAATTAAGAACCATCAACTATTGAAACTGGTAAGCATTGCTGCTCCTATTCACTTATAAATCTGTCAATTACATTTTCTAAACGGTTCAACTGAACCAAACTTTTGTGTTTCCAAGAATCCCACAAAAGAACAATAAAAAGTTTTTGAAGCAAAACAAATCAAAGAAAAGTAAAACTAATCAAACAAACTGATGTCAAAGCTGTAAAAGCCTCTAACCAACAGTTTGAAACTATACCAATTCTTCTTTTTTTTTCTTGGTGGCTAGATTTTTTCTCTACAAAGAAAATCTAGTTTATTGATTAAAAGAACAAAATGGGAATTTGAAAGCTTCTCTCTTTGGATCTTTTGAGCGAGAGAGAAGCTTCACTTTTTGTGTTTTGATTTAAAAAGCTAATCACATACCAAAACAATAATCGAATCTATACTATATTTTGGAATAACTTATTTTGTTTTGTTATAGTATATTTGAATCGATTTAAAATAATTTAGTGGTACTATCTCAATATATTTACCATTTGCTAAGTAATATTGTTTAGATTTTTTACTTAGTTACTGCTAAACTGGTTTGTATGTGATTAACTGGTTTAATATATGATCATAGTTAGTGCTCTCAATGTTATATAATTCAATACAAAATATGCATAAATTTAAGTTGACAATTTATAATTCATTTTGAAATTTAAATGATAGTTTTTTTAAAAAAAATAAATAAAAATAGGATTCTAAATTAATAGAATACATGTTTTCATTTTTATCAATGACTAACTCGTTGAAATAGTAAGCTCGCCTTCTTTTTTTGCTTAATTTGCTTTTGGGGTTAATTGAAGCTAAAGGATTCACGTGTAACATTATGGGGAGAGATATAATGTTTAGATTAATTTTAAAAAACATTAGCCAGCTCTCTTTACTAAAAACACACTTTTCTAAAAACTATGTGGTTACTACTCATCATCCAAAAATAACCACCTTTGAAATCCATCTATTCTCCACTATATAAACACTAATAAACTCTTCCTCATAATCTCACAGGCCAACTCCAAATACAATTAAATATATAAATAAAATAAATTGAACTCCTAACCAGGGGTTTCTTTTATAAATTTATTTATTTAATTTATTTGGAAAATAACAAATAATTAGTATTAATATGGGAATGTCTACAAGTGTCAAAGTGATTGTCTCTATACTTCTTGCGGTGTTCTTGGCTCTTGCAGCAACCAGCACTGAGGCAAGATTCATAAATTATCGCGATCTTAGTAGGGGAGATCACGCTTTGGCTTGCAATAAAGCGAAACCTGGTACCTGCAAGAAGCAAGAAGTCAATCCTTACCACAGAGGATGCGAGTCGGCCGAACGTTGCCGTGAATCCAGATGATAACTGAAGAGCATATTTATCCATCAAATTAGTTTCCTAACAATAATATGTTGACAGGCATCTAACTGGAGAACCCCTCTTGGTTAATTTCTACAAATGCAATTCCCAAATTAATTTGAGATGATCAAAGTAATTTCTTTATTATTTAATTAGTATGTTATTGGTTTGTGATTGATATTAACCCGATGATGTTACGATCAAATAAATATAAATATATATGTTCCCTATTTCCTTAATTAATTAGTATATAAATTTCATTAACTATACTCTAAATTATTAATTTGAAAGTTATCTCTATTGTATTAAGTCAACAATAAGAACTCAAAGATTATAAGAAAATACTTCTTAACTAGGTGTTTTGCCCGCACTTGCGGGCATAATTCTCTTATAAATATTTATTAGTTGATGTTTCATTAATTTAAAAATCAGCATAGTGTTATCATTTATGTTTTCAAAAAGTAAAAATCAAACATCAAATAATTATCAATGACAAAACTCAAACATCAGAAATATTTAAAAGAATATATTTCTATAACTATTTTTCTTGATTTATATTTAATTATAATATCTATATCTTAATTTTAAATTTTATATTAGAAAACCATATTTTCAGGATAACAATATAATGCATAAGTTCTTTATTTTCTGAAAATATAATATGATATTTTTTTAACTATATAACAATTATATAAGATTATAAAAATTATGACATATAATTAAAATTACCTAAAATCATTGAGAACTTAATGAATCAGCAAATTCACTTCTTAAATATTTTTTCTTGAGTGATGATTTATATTTAATTAATAATAGATAAGTTTTTCTATTTCACTTTTAAATTATATACTATAAAAATATATTTTCAAGATAACAACATAATACATAAGAATTACCATATTCTCCAAAAGTATAATATTATTAGTGTAAATTTATTTCAATTAGAGAATAATTATAACTTTTTATATCTTAATTTTAAATTTATAATAGAAAAATATATTTTAAGACAGAAAACTAATACATAAGAAGTATTTTATATTCTAAGAATCTGATACTAATATAATTTTGTTTTAAATATATAATAAATTATATAAATTGATAAATTATCAAAATTACCTAAAATCGTGGAAAATATGACAAATCAGCAAACATCAAATTCACTTCTTAAATAGTATTTATAGATTTTTTACATGTTAATTTTAAATTTTATAATAGAAAAATATTTTTTTTCAAGATAACAGCATAATACATAAGAATTAACTTATTTTCTAAAATATAATATTATTAATATAAATTAGTTTTAATTATATAATCAATAATAAACAAAATTATAGAAATTTTGAGAAATGATCAAAATTACCTAGGATCATGGAGACAAATCAACAAATTCACTTTTCAAATAATTGTTTTATAAAATATAATTTTATATTTAATTATGATTTATATTTAATTATTAATAATATAATTTTATCTTAATTTTAAGTTTTATAATAGGAATATATATTTTCAACATAACAACATAATCCATAATTATTATCTTATTTTATAAAAATATTAAATTATTAATATAAATTCATTTAAATTATATTTAAATATTAAATTATTAATATAAAATTCGTTTTAGATAAATATAATAGTGTTTATATCTTAATTTAAATTTAAGTTTTATATATAAAAATATATTTCAAGATAACAACATAATTCACAAGAATTATCTTATTTACTAAAAATATAATATATTCATATAAATTCGTTTTATTTATAAATAAAAATATATAAATATTAAAAATATGATAAATAAAAAAATTACCTAAACTTAGGGAGAGCATGACAACTAAGCAAATTTACTTCTTAAATAATAGTATAGATAATTTAAGAAAATCATTCAAAACTTAAGCTCTCACAAATAATCTCTAAACTCATAACATATGCTACAACCTAGAATTTTCTTATATAAAAATCAAATAATCCTAAACTCATTAGGAAACACGTGTTATTTAGATAACTCTTAAATAATATATCTAACACTTATATATCTTAACCAGGATTTAGATAACTTTTCGACCAAGTTACTATCAAATTTTGGCGCCAACATTCTCCCCTTTAAACTTGAAGTTAACTTGAATGACATCTTGAGCTCCAACTAAGTCTCTCATCTCTTTGTACTTGATTCTTCCTTGTGCTTTCGTTAGAATGTCAGTCTTTTGTAGATTTCCGGAGATGTGTTCCACTTCGACTTGATCATTATCAACACACTCTCTTATGAAGTGATATCGCTTGTGTATGTGTGATGTGCTCAAATTATCCCAAGAGCAACTCTCTCAAATAAGAGATCGCTTGAAATATATAAGGATTGTATTCATAGAGACTCGATATCTCACACAATAGACTTGAGTTTTAGATCAAGCCAGGTCAGATAATATAAAGTGATAAATAACAATAAAGTAAATAGAGAAGTTTATTGTTTGATAGAAGAATGAGTGCTAGACTTAGGGTTTCTTTTAGGTTATCAGGACTCTAATCTATAGATGCTAAAAGTTTGATCTTAGATATTGAATTCAATAAGAAAGTAATCTAGCTCTCAAATGAAATTACTAACCAGATGTCTAAATCCTCTGTCCTAGCTGTCACATGCGAACATGGAACAAGCGTCGATCAGTAATATTGACTTAATGTCGATCGATGCTTCCTAAACAAGCATTAACACCCTAATCGATATGTTCACTAGGTTATCTAAACCATCCATTGCATGCACCTAACAACTGATATGCTCAAATTAACCTTCAAGCTACTCTCTCAAATAAGAGGTTCGATGTAGTACTTGAGGATCGAATCCACAGAGACCAAATTTTACACTTTATTATTATAGGATCAATATTAAGCTAAAACAATATGGGGTTTTAAAATAAAGAAAACGTAAAAAGCAAGTAACAGATTTGTTCAAGGTTTTCAGATGATTGAAGATGCTAGCCTAGGGTGAAGGATTGGGTGTCAAACGATCATGAGCCAAACATCTATTCAAGGTTTTATTAAGCACAAGTCTAGAACTCAAAAGACAAATAAAGATTGACCCACTCTCGTGGTATCTCCCCTTTTAACAATCAGCCTTAATACCTAAACTCTCGTTTGGACTAAAACATGAAAGCAAACATTAAGATCAGA